GGCTACTGAAATCGAATTTATTCTCACTTCTCGCCACTTCACTCTAAATCTAAAGGGACCTCTAAATAGCATGAGAAACAAGCAGACATTTGATTTCCTGATCTACAAAGCAGAAAATTTGTATGCAGACGGTGAATTATACTTTTTGAAACTTACGGAAGGTTCATAAATGAGGTTCAGAGAGAAACCATGTAGTATAACGCTGCTTATAAACTTGGAAGGATCAAGAGAAAGCCAAAATTCACTATGGTCATGAATAAGACCAGCTCTGAGCTCACTTGACCTTTGGTGGAAGGGGCACTGGTTCCGCAAATGTTCGAAGCCGCTACAGTTGAAACACATAGGAGATTTGTTGCTTCGCCGGTACTGCTGGGAAGGAAAAGAAGTGAAGTGGCCTGGATAAGTTGCCTGCTGCATTCCTTGGCTGGAGTACGGACTAGTCGGTATAGAATAGCTGGACGTATTGAGAAGCGTGGGCCCAAGCCGCTTCCCCTACGAAAGGGCTGTTGTCGCATTGGAGTATAAGGCTGAAATTTTGACTTCCACATTAGTACCCGAACGGGCTTCTTCTCTTCTTTCTTCTTCTTTTTTCTAAGGAAGGCTGCCAGGATTAAATTAGATGCCTGCATGCTTTCAGCCTTATTGTGTTGATCGTAAAACTCCCATACATCGGGATTTGAATCTGCAACAGAAAGGAGCTCATTTTGCTGTGAATGGATGGCCTTCAGTAGCTGGCTCCTAGTGTCGAATTCCTCCGGGGCTTCTGCCACAGGAGTTATTATCGACGAAGTCTCTGAATTGAATTCGAACTGCCATCGGAGACCTGGCTTCGTGAAGTTCGGCCTTCTTGAAGAGGAAGGAACAGTGGCCATAACCGGCTGAATAGCAGGTGATTGTAGTTTAAAGAGAATTCTGTCGAAGTGATCCTTTCGAATTTGGATACTCTTCTGTGATGGGAGATGTAGACTCCTCTGGAATAATAGCAGGATGAGTGATGTGATCCTGATCCGGCATGATCAGTAGTGGAGGCCAGATAGAAGCAACCAGCACTCAAGAGTCGAAAAACCGGAATGGGTATTTTTATGCGCCATCGCTCGACCACGCTTGTCTTGCGAAACCTCAAATCCCGCCCTACGGTCCAAAGTACATGGTCATAGCCTCATTGAGAAATTGTTATGCCTGGCATAACACCCCAGGACCCAGGTCATCTTACGCGGTCACGTACTTTGCACCCACCCACTATACGCTATGGAAATTCAAAACACCCAACCTAGGTCAACACCTATTCCCGCTTGAGTCAACCTAGGCACCGAGGCTTTCCTATTTGTCGTCTGGCACACGCTGGCATGGCCGACCTTAGCCAAGGTTTTAAAGACTTTCTATCTGCTTAGCCAGTATAATAGGCATTTGAGCCCTCTGCCTTTGCACTGTATTTGTTTTCTATATGTGGGATAGAATATCGGCAGTTCGTTCGTTTTTGGCAAAGTCCAAACAGCCACGAGGAGGCGGTCTAATCGGTATTACATACGGTTGCTGGCAGTAGGAGTAATACTAGATGGGCGGAGCATCCTTGCATGTAGGCCACACTCGTCGTATGGTATCTCACATGTACGCGAGGTAGCACAGGAAGCGGTACATTTGGGCAGAGCATAGTTCCGGACAAGTGGGAGGAAGACTGCAGCGTGCACACGCACTAAGAGCTGGGGTATAATCACAATGAAACCATAATGAC